AAGAGGCTTTCTCTTCTCCTCTAAGCTGGGCATGGTGGCACACGACTGTAATCCCAACACTCAGGAGGCTGAGGCAGGAGGATCGCTGTGAGTTCGAGACCAGCCTGGGCTACATATTGAGTTCCAGGTCAGCCTCAACTACATAGTGAGACCCTGTCTCAAAAAAACAAACAAACAAAAAATTCCATCTGGAAGAGAAGCAAAATGGTAGCAGGCAAAATTATGAGACAAAAAAAGAGAGAAAACTTGAATTTCTATATAGAAAAGTACACTCTAAAGTTACAATAGATAAAAATGTGCTATTGATCCAGAAAGACAAATTGAACAATGTAACAGAAAAGAGGCCAAAAATAGTCCTATATTTGAGAATTTAAAATGATAAAGATAGCATTTCAAATAATTGACTTTTTCCATAAGTGATATTAGGATAATTAACTTCCATATGGAAAAAACTGTGTTTGGTCCTTACCTTATACAAAATCTAAAAATAAATTCCACTTGTATTAAATAAATTAGTTGTTTTTCAATAGTGGGGATTGAACCCAGGGGTTCATGTATGGTAGGCAAGTGGTCAGCCACTGAATAACTATCTCTAGCCTTTATTTTAAGATATTTTTAGAGCATTCAAGAGTTCTGGGTAAATTCAATAAAATTTCAAGGAAAGGTTACAAGTGCTACCTTTTTGAACTCTTAAGGTGAAGAAAGCTTTCTTTGTGCTGCTATTATAAATTATCACAGATTTATAGTTATCAGATATAATTTATCCATTCATCTTCGGCAGACTGGGACGTCTAAGATCAAGGGGCCAACATCTGGTGAGGACCTCCTTATCCCATGGCCAAAGGATAAAAAGAGGGTGGGAGAGGATCAGAAGGGGGCCAAACTCATCCTTTTATAAAGACCCTCAAAATCTAATCACTTCTCATTAGGTGCTACCTCTCAACATTGCTGCACTGGTAATTACGTTTGCCACACATTTTGGGGGGCTTCAAATGATAACATGTAGGCCTATTATATAACCCAGAAATTATAAATGAAAACTTTCATTCATTGAATCATTCAACAAAAAGTTACTGCATCGTTCTAGTCCCTGTAACACACCAATAAATTAGGCAAATAGTCTGGCCTCATTGACTTTCTATTTTAGTATATATTACTATAAATATTTGAGCAAAAAATACATGATAGTTACATATAATGATAGATATCATGGAAGAACGAAAAACATAGTAATGGCAGTAGGGGAGAGAGTTGCTGAAACTCCCCAGGGTCCTTATTGTCACGTGACTCTTTGTATTTCAAGTCTTGATTGAAACACTAAGCTCCATGCCAGGAATCTTGTTTACAGGCTCAAAGCAGAAGTTCCCAGCGGGGGTTGTATTCACCCTGGCCATGTACGCAACCCAGCCTATTTAACCCATTGGGCTCTTTGAAAAAAAACTACTGGTAGAGAAACTGATCCTGGGGGATCACCTGTCAAGTTTCAGACATAAATCCCACTGCAAGACTGGAATTAGTGTAAAGCCTGGCCTCAGGAATGTCACTGAAACAGAGACAAAGCTTTTCCAGCCACGATATAAATGAGCCCATCTCAGAAACTACAAAAAATAGTGCAAATTCAGGGAGGTAGGAAGTTCATCTCATCTGAGTAGTGCCACTGAGATGAATGAACTTCACCTGACTTCAGTCTTAGCAAGATTTTCCCCAGGGAAACTGCTTGGCCCAAATGGGCCGTGTGTTCTCTTCAGGAATCAGAGATAAGGGTTAACCACCTACTCATATGGGCTGAGGGTGCAGGTACAGCTATTGTGCCAATGTAAGGCTCTGTTCCTAAATAAAAGGAAATTAATGATGGGTAGAGAATATTAACACACCTCATCATAATAAATTGGCAAAAGTTGGGCTGGAGATTTAGCTCCGTTTTTCCATCACCTGCTTCATAAGCTCAAGGACCTGAGTTCAGGCCCCAGTACCAAAAAACAAAAAAAAAAATCCAAAAACTAAGAATGCCCTATATTGACAAGGGTGTCAGGAAGTAGGAAACCTAATATATTTGAGAGAGCCTATAAATGACAATATAAGAATATTCTTTGACCAATTCTTCTCTAGGTATTTAATTGCAGAAATATCCACACATGTGGCCAAAATATCATCTGAAGATTTTGTCCATTGTGGAATATAATGAGAAATTTGAAACATTTAAAATTTTAAATAACATATGACATAGTGTTTGCCCTATGGAATACTACATAATCCTTAAAAAGAAAATACTTCCTTGGAAAGAGCTCCACAATAGACTCTTAAATAAAATAAGCTAACTGCACAATCATATATAAAATATGATCCCACATATGTATTAATATGTGAGCGCATGGTCCCAAGTTCAATCCTCAGTATGAGAAATATATATGTATTAATATACATACCGAAAAGGAGAATTTGTAATGGTTAATAATTTAAAGCTCTCTAAATTCTAAAGCAAAATTTGATTGTGAGACCACAGACAGTGAGCATCTTAGAAATCTATGGCTACTACTGTTGTAGTTTGTATTTAGCTGTCCCCCCAAGGCCTCAGGCATTCATATGTGGAGCTTTTCAGAGGTGGCTGGATCTAGAGTGCGTGAATATAGATTAAGGGTGTGTGATAACCAAGTAAGTCCACTGATTGATTTAGCAGAGCTCTGGGTGTGGATAACAGGAAGGCCTACCCTGGGTGTGGATGGTACCAACCTTTTAGCTTTTAGCCTGGATGGGATAAAAGGGCAAAAGAGCTCCATCCTTCTAGCTGCTTCCTGCTTGCCAAGCCATGGACTGTTTCTCCTCTGCCTGCCCCTGTGCTGTTCTACTCTGCCTCGGAGCCAGACAGCTAGGAACTGAAACCTGTACAAACTGTGAGCTAAAATAAATATTTCCTTCTTTAACTTGTGGGTGTCATTTATTTTGTCCCAGCAGAGAAAGTAACTAAGGTAACTATCCAACAAAGGAAGCTGAAAAAATCCTAAATGCAAGAAGAATGCTTCACAATGATATTGTGATAATGACCAGAAAATAAAGTATTTTCAAGGACACTCACCAGATCCCAGGGATACCGCAGTCATGTTAGGAACCTGCCAGGGATGGCTTCTCTGAGGTCCAACCTTCTAGAAACTACCATGGGAGTAAATAGTGGAGCAGGGAGTCAGCATTCTCCAGTGAGGGCTCATTTGAGGTTTGACTTCCTAAGAACTTGTGTTGCAAAATAAAGTGATTGCTTTGTTTGCCATAGGAGAAAATGGAAGAAGACATGGAAACAAGCATACAAGTGCACTGGAAGAAAAAAATTCAGTTTTAAGAAATGGGGCTCTCAAAAAAAAATTAAAAAAGAAATGGGGCTCTCATCCTATAATCCAAATCCCCATCTCTCCTCTCCCCAAATCCTATTCATCCATCTTCCCTAGATTCTTATCACCAAAGAGAAAGAGACCCCAGAGAACTCATTCTATAAGACAATGAATACAGCCTTAAATAGGTAAATAGAATGTTGTTTTCGTAATATTTTATTATAAATGCAGTGCATGATCTTTATAGAAAAATAAGAGAACAAACCCCACAGATAATTCTATCACCCTGAAACAATCACTTTTAATATGTTGGTCTATGTTAGTTGATTTTATCATTTCTGAAATCATATATACTTATGCAATTGTTCGCGTTACCCATAGTAGAAGTGGGTCCCATGTTGTTAAAATCTCTTAAAAACAGTAGTTTTATTACATTGGCTGTGGGGCTGTGTAGAGTTTTGATGTTGGGAAGTGCTGAGGCACGGAATCAGTCAGCCATCAGAAGCCACATTTTGGTTAGCATCAGGGAAGAGAACTTCAGGACTCACAAACAGAACTCTGGAAGAATGCTGCTCCCTCTTAGGAACTGCAGCATCCTCTCTACATCTCTGAGGGAAATTCAGACCAGGAGATAGCAGATCCTAGATTCTCTGATTTTCTTCCCTAAATTCTAAGGCCAGATAATGGAGGTTAAATGTGGTTCTGATAATCAGGCTCTGTTCCATCCTCCTGAGCTTCTGGGTGCTTGAGAAGTGAATAGGTGATTGTATTCTCAGCCTAGAGAGAGCAGAAATATGTGAGGCACCTATGAAAAGGTCACGGGAAAGACAAACAGCAGGGGAGAAGGATGCAGAGAGGACAGGAGATGTCTGAGATCACTCACCTCAGCTTTAGCAGCTTCCTCAGGATCAGAGAGATTGGCTGTAGGCAAAAAGAAGAGATCAGCCCTGGCACTGCTGGAACAGAGGGCGCACTGTGCTACTGCTGCAGCTGCAAAGCCAAAGTTCACACCAGGCCTGAAGCAAGGGTTGCTGACCCCCAACTCAGGCCTGCAGGCCAAGCGCCAGGTCAATGCGGCCTCATTCACGCACTCTGGAGCTGTCCCAGACTCTCCCACCCTGCTGGCCATGGTGGCAAAGGGAGTCAGTGATTTGTGTCACATTCTTTTAAGATTAATGAGCTTTCCTAGAAGCAAACCAGGCAGCTTTGGGGATCTCAGGGATTGGAGAAGAGGTGAGGAGTGTTCATTATCAGCAATGAAGTCCAGATTCTTTGCTGGCCACAGGTTTCACGGAGGGAAGAGTAACTTCCACTTCCACATTGGCCAAATGCAGTGCATCTTGGTTGGAAGTGTGAAGGATCAGGTACTTCATGGTATCAGAAAGAGAAAGAAAGAAAGGAGGGAGGGAGGGAGGAAAGGAGAGAGAGAGAGAGAGAGGGAGAGAGAGAGAGAGAGAGGGAGAGAGAGACAGGGAGGGAGAGAAAGAGGGAGGAGAAAGAGACAAGAGGGAAGAAGAGAGAAAGGAAGGTGAGCTGGGCGTCATGGCGCAGGCCTGTAATCCCAGCACTCGGGAGGCTGAGACAGGAGGATTGCTGTGAGTTCAAGACCAGCCTGGGCTACACAGCGAATTACGGGTCAGTCTTCACTACATAGTGAGACCCTGTCTCAAAAAAACAAAACACACGCGCACACAAACACATACACACACACACAAAGAAAGTAAGGTGAAAGGAAAGAAAAGAGAAAAGACAAGGAAGAAAGGCAGAGAGGAAGGGGGGGAGGGAGGAAGGAGAAGAGAAGGGAAGGGAGAGAAACCTTCTCTGATAAATACCCAAAACATCAAGTTTCCTCATGTTTTTGCCATAAATCACTTTGCCAGTATGAAAAGCAGCTTCAATGTCTGTGAATCAACATTTCCTGGGAAGGCAGGGAGGAGTCTGAGACAATCTCTTCCCTCATCTCCTGGACACAAAGAGACTATTTGCCATGTTCCAAACTCTGCAACAGATCATGCTTGGAATCTCCCTTCTAAGACATTCTTCAATGACTTACTATGTCTTTCGGGAAACCATCAATTCCAGAGAAATGTGTTTATGCCAATGTAGGCAAAACCAAATGACAAGGTTGTAAATTTACTATCCAGATGTGCTTGGATTTTTTATTAGATCTGGTTTGATGCCTCCCCGCGTGGCCTGGCCAAGAGACACTCGGAGCCTGTTCAAAGCACAGCTAGAGGAGATATAGTTTGCTCAAGCTCTCAAATCTGTTGGCTTTGCTCTGAGTCATACTCCAGCCATCTGAGGTGAAATTGTCAAAGGGCCTCTTTTTCCTGACTGATCCCACTGTCATGGAAGCCCCCAGAGAAAGCTCCAATTTCCTTTGTGCTCTGAGTTTGACAACAGTTAGGAAATGATCTGGAATTCTCCTGCTCTTCTTACACGCCCCCAACTCATATGGGGATTGGATGGTCACTGGCTTCCCCATTCGGGCTCAAAGGTCACCTATCAGGGGTGGCGAACCTATGGCACACATTTTTGTGTTTTTCTTTTAAGACAAAAAATGTTAATGTACGAGTTTGTTTTTTTTTTTCTAAATTAAAACCTAAATATTCAGGTTTAATTGTAGTGTTGGCAATTTGAGATAAATAAGTGGGTTTCGGGGTGCAGTTTGGCCATCAGTGCTCTAGGTCAACCTACTTCCTTCCCCACTAAGGTGACTGAACATGGTAAGATTTTATTGTATGATGGTGGCAGAACCAGGCCAATATCTAATAAACTGACGTGGACGGGCATCAGAACCACGCTTTACCCACAAAACAAAACCCACTAGTGGCCCTAGTGCCTCAGAATTTTCTCAAGAGCAAATCTCTTCCTAATTTTCTACTAAGAGTTGGTTCTTACCATGCTGAACCTATCACCGCACAAGGTCAGATTCCTCAACAAATCTAGGAGTTGTTCCAACAACTCCTTTCCCTGTTCTCTTGAACTCCTATGTCCTTAACCCTATTGGTCTTCTTATAACTTCAGACCTCTGTCTATTGACAAATCTGCCAAATCTCCACAGAAAGATCCTTAGGCCCAGGAGTTAGACTCAGAACTGACCAAGCAACTTGAGCCCTATCCACCTCCCCTTTCCCCCTCCCTCTCGCACGCTCCAGCCAAACACACACAAGCCACTTCTTGCTGGTTCCGATCCATCTGGCAGCCCTGGACAGCACATCACTGAGTCCCCAGAGAGAACACTGTACTCACCTACTTCCTTGGGAATGGTCTCTCCCATTTCCCTGTGCTCAGGGTTTCCTGGGAGAGCTGGGAGGGGCACACAGGAGGTTAGTAGGATTATGGGGTGGGGCCTGAATTCTCACGACCACCAAAGATCAGGGTAGGATTGAGTTAGAAGCAACAGAGGCCCTTCCCTCACACAGACGCCTCCTCTCCTCCCAGATCCCCAGCTACCCTGCCCAGAAAACACTCTGGCCTGTGAAAGACAGGTCCCAGAAGACAAAAGTCAAGTAACCCTATGGTATCAGGAAGGCTACCATTCCATCTTTCTTAGGTTTCCTCTGCCTTTTGAAACAGACCTCTTTCTCTGAGTGCGTCAGTGTCTCAATATTTACTTATCATCAGCAACTGAGCCCCCCCCATGAACCAGCAGTAAATGCTTTGTGAGGTATTAGTAGTGTTATGCTTTCATTCCTCACTTCCGTGCCTTCCGTGCTATTCCTCATGTTCCATGACCTGAACGCTCTTTCAGCCCTCTTTGCATAGCTACCTGCTTCCCAAACAAACATCACCTCCTCTGTAATGGCAACAGCTTAGATTTATGTACTGTCCATTATCAGCAAGGCAAATGTTATAATGCCGAGAGCTCCCTGAGAGAAGGGACCGGGTTTCTTTTTTTGGGGGGCGGGTACCAGGGATTGAACTCAGGTCCTTGCTCTTGCAAGGCAGGCCACCGAACCGCGGAGCTAAATCCCCAGCCCTGGGACCTGGTTTCTTTATCTTGATATCACCCCCAGTGCGTACCACTGTGCTTGACTCTTTGTTCAAGCCTTGTTGAATAAATGAATAATAAATGAATGAGTGATTAAAGATGGAGCTCTAGCTGAATACTAAGAATTCTCTAGCCTGGTAATATCTAGACTTAGGGCCTCGGAGAAGGAAGAGTTGATAAAAAGAAGGACCAAAGAGAGACACTTACCTGAGGTCTGCTTTCTCCTGAGGTAGATCATGGCTGCTACAGCTGCAATAACAGCCACTGTAAAAATCCCAATGACTACAGCCACAATTATCACCACGGATGAAGAGTCACTTGACTTGGACTCTGGGGAAGAGAGATTTGAGACAGGCAATAAGTACTGTTCCTGTCCTGTCCCATCCCCGCTCCAGTGTTGTGCCACAGTCCGTATCAGCTCAGGCTGTTCTGTGTCTGGGTCACCTACAGGTGTAACACTTCCCCCTGCACAAGCTTTCTATGGCTGGACCTGTGCCTCTCCCAGAACAAGGTGCTCCACCACCGGAGTAAAGGTACGCAGGGGAGTGTGCAGGAGCAGAGAAATGGCCCTCTGGGGCAGTGGGTGGTGGGCCTGAAGATGCTCTAGTGGGCGGCTTCACTCCTATTCCGAACTCACCAGGCCCCAGGAGTAAATGGCCGTACCATGAGAGAGGGGAAGAAGCAAGGCATCCTCAGCACTCAGGACTGTCCATGACATTAGGGAAGCTGTGGGCCAATAAGGCTGCTCTGTTTCACTGCTGTACACAGAATGAGGTCACAACCTTCTCCCCTATGCCCTGGGATGGAGGACTGTGAGCTCTGGCCCCTACTCCTGCCCATGGAACGATACTGGGCAAAGCTTCCACAAAGTTTCTTGTTGGCCCCGGTGCTGTGTGGCATTGCTCAGATCTCCATACAGGCCTACAGGTCCTTTGCCCTTGCCCATTACCTCTTGTCTTGTCCCTACATCTTGACAGAGATCCCATACCTTGGACATTGATGGTCACAGGCTGTGATTTGTGGGGTGTCTTTCCTATATGTCCTGTGCAGTGGTAATCACCATTGTGATTGTGGTTTGCTTGTGGGATAAAGAAACTACTATTGAAATTGGAAAATTTCTTGGCTACTCCGTTGTGGTAGAATGTGACCTTTGCCAAAGGCCTGTCGCGCCAGCTGTGGCACCGCAGCGTGATGACTTCTCCCTCCTGGAACACCAGTTGTGGGGTCTGGAGCAGCAGCCAGTCTGCAAGACATGAGAAGCACAAGATCTAGGCGATCTTCACTCAACTCTGAGACCCAAACTAACCCAGCTAGTGGAACATGATGAGCAGAGGGAAGAGCCTAAGTTTGGCATCAGATACTCTTGATCTCTAATTCTGGCCCCATTCTTCTATGAGTTCTATAATCTTGGGTAAGTAATTTAACCATCTGGGCCTTAGTGTCCTCATCTTTGCAAACGGGCACGATGACCCCATGGTTCTACAAAAGTTCCTGGCATACAGTGGTTGTTTGGGATATGCTCATCTTCTCCTTCCTTTCCTGGGAGAAGGTAGCTGCATCCTCATCCTGTTAGGAAACATGCAAGAGACCCTGAGATAGTCTCTTCCTTGGGGCTGAGTCTCAGTGTGACTGAGGAGATAGAGGTGGAGAGGACCAAGCAGAGACATATATTTTGGGGATTGTAGAAGATCTTGAATCTCCAAAAGATGTTGGTTTACTGATGAATATGAATAAGCAGGAAGCTTCTGGGCAGCAGGGATTCTGTCTGAAGGCAGCAACGTCACAGGTGAGTCATGCGAATGCTGTGCACTTTTGAGGAAAATTTGAGACGCAAGTGAAGAGTAACAGTAACATTTGCCATCACAGTCAGATGACAGCTTTTCCTCATGGACAACCTACTTTCTGCCAGGAGCTTTGCAAAATCATTGATTTGTTTGGCAAACACGTACTAGGGCCTTTCCCTGCTCCAGAGGTGAGAAATGCAGAGATGGATAGGACCCAACTTTCCCTTCAAGTTGCCCATATCCTGGTGAGAGAGAAAAATGGAGAAAGACCTTGGATGGAGAGGGGCCTGGAGATTAGGGAAGGGTCAGCTCTCCCCAGAGCCCCGTAAGAGAGGCTTTAGTAACTGTGCTGAATAGATGAGGACACTTTGACTGAAGGATTCAATAAATGGATTATGTTTATGCAGGTGGTTACTTCTAGGTTCGGGACTATTCAGTTGTGTTTGTGGTTGGGGTTTTTTTTTGCGGGGGGTAATGAACCTAGGACCTTCACACTGAACTATATCCCCAACCTTTTCATTTTCATTCTGAGACAGGATCTTGCTGAATTGCTAAATTGCCCAGGCTAAAATCAGATTTGCAACCCTCCTGCCTCAGCCTCCCAATGCACAAACATGCCATTATTCTCAGCTTAAAAATGAAAGGGCCTTTATGAAGTATGAACCTCCTTCTGCTTCTATCACAATCAGTTGCCTGTCTGTGGCCTTGGAACCCTCTTGCTTAATCAGAACTAAGGCAAAAACAACTTACTCATACACGCCGAAGAATTTCTTAGGAATTGCACCCCCATGCACATACATGAAGCCAAAGAGTGGGTAAAAAGGGAAATGAGTGAGCAAAAATTACTTCAAGCAAGTCAGAGTGATGATTCCCAGAAATCAGGCCAGCCCCCTTTCCTGCCAACATCCGCCGCGTCAGCAGGTTGCCCTCTCCTGGTCCTCCCAGCCCCCCTGTCCTCTACTGACCCGAAATCACGTTCAGAAGCACAGGGTCGCTAAGGCTGGTCCCGCCCTTCTGGCACCGGTACTCTCCACTGTTATTCGTTTCCGCGGTGAACCTGTAGCTGGGCTGGACCTGGGCGGGGATGGGGCTCCCGCTGTGGACCCACTGGGTGGAGTGGTTCCCAGGCCCGCGGGCCCCCTCACAGGTCAGTGTCACGTTGTCTCCCCGGAGCACCTGGATCCATGGCGGCTCGAGTCTCACCACAGCCTTTGGGAGATCTGTGGAGATGCGGAGAGAGGAGACAGCAGGAGGAAGGGGAACCCCGGGAGTCTCAGCAGGCCTTAAAACTCAGACAAACAAATGTGTTCATACCGCGGGCAACAAGAGTGGAACCAGGCGGAGAGGGCTTCTGCAGCTGAAGGCAACCACAGAGGCCAGGGACACTCTCAGGGGGCCGGAATGACCCTCCGCAGGAGGGGACAAGAGGGAAAATGAGGGGAGAGCAGCAGGGAAACCCCCTACAAATAATATGTCTCTCTCTCTCTCTCTCTTTTGGGACTCACTTTCCTGCCTTGTAAACTGAGGCATTTGGACTCTAGTTGTAAACCCTCTCCAGAGCTGGCTGAAGACAAGTGGGGGCATCTTTTGGAGAAGCCAGGCCTGAGAGTCAGATATCGGGTTTCTGTTCTGACCTGGTATCATTCTTTATCCCCTAGAAAGGAGGTCAGGGTGGCCAGTCCTCTGTGGCCTCAGAGGATGGAGTGGGAGAAAAAGGAGAGGGTCAGCCCTGGGAGAGGGGGAAGACCACACAAAGAAGTGCCTGGCAAAGCTCCAGCCACCGTGCTGCAAGCAAAAGCCTGAGGACAAGGCTGTCTGTCGAGGGGACAGGACTTGAACCCTCGGTTCCATGCAAAGTGGAGGATTCGTCAACACATGCAACAGTCTACACAGCTCATGTGACTTTGCATGTGCTTGTGTGTTACTTGGAGAGGAAGCCCTCATTTTTTTCCTAGCGAAATTTTAAAAAATATTCATACATAATATCTGTACATATTTACATGGTACATGTAATTCTTTAACACATGTATATAATGTGTAATAATCAGATCATATCTGTCGCTACAAATGTTTGTCATTTATTTGTTTGAGATCATTCAAAATTGTCTCTACTAAGGGGATAGAAGAGAATACTATAGGTATATTCACTCCTCAAAATGAATATAATTATTCAATGCCGATTAAAAAAGAAAAAATTCTCTCTACTAGCAATTTGGAAATGCACCATTAATATTGTCTACTATAATTATCCTCCTGTGCTACAGAAGATTAGAAGTTTTCCTCCTGTCCAGCTGTACTCCTGTTCCCATTAAAAATCCTCTTTCCATCCTCCCCTACCCTTCCCAAGCTCTGGTAATTACTATTCTACTTATTTAAGATCAACTTTTCAAAGTTCTTGATTTTATTTATTTAGAGAGTGGAAGGCAGTTGAAAAAGAGGACAGAATTCTCACTTTCCATGACAATGCTTATATCATGTCCCCACGACAGAACCAGAAGGGCTGAAGCCCCTGTGGACCATGACTGTCCACCACCTATATGCCTGGGAGGGAAGGTGGACAGGGCATCTTCTGGAAGCGGTGACCCTTTCCTGACCCTGACCTGTTGCAGAGCTTGGGTCCCTCAGAACACTCCAGGGAGGGCACTGGGAGAAGGGAAAGGAGCTACATGAGGTCCTTACCAGATGTCCCGGCAACAGGAGCTGTAAGAAAGAAAGCAAGGATCATGAGGGGCCTGCCTCTGCCCTAGACCAGCCCGTCCAGTCCAGCGCCCCCTCACCCACTGCCCAGCCGTTGCCCGTCCCCAGGCTGCCCCGATGAGGCACATTTTCAAAAGTTCTGAGAACTCCTTCCCCAATAACAGAAGAAAATGAAATAAAATGATATAAAACATTCTTCCTCCTGGGTTTGGTATTTCATTTGGTTTAAAACTTTTGACTGATTAAAATGCCTCTGGAAAGTTGTCTGTTGGAAATTACATATGTAAATGACTTTTGCCAGACTCTACCCAGAGAGCAGAATTTGTTCTTTTGAGGAGAAGGGATAAGGATTAAACAAGCACAGATCTGTACATAATTTGTAATCTGTGATCATTGTGGAAGAATAGAAAATATACATAACAAAAATTTACTGCCTTGTCATTCATCTTGCCAGATTTTCCCTCTGGGATGGAGAGATACAGATATAGATATGTAGGTATATATGATGTTTACATACAGATTATATATAATCTGACATATATATATCACATTATACTCTAAAAAGTGTTCTGTAACCTGATTTTTCACTGAACGATACCAGTTCTAGCAGACTAAAGTGTTTCTACTTGATTGATTTATTGAGTGTTGGTACTGGGGATTGAACTGCACTGACCTATGTCCAGGCTCTGTTTAATTTTTTATTTTGAGACAGGGTCTCACTAGGTTGTTAAGTAGACCAGGTTGGTCTGGAATTTGTGATCATCCTGCCTCAACCTCCCAGAGTGCTGGAATTACAGGCCTGCTCCACCATGCCCAGCTGCATTGTCGTATTTATTTATTTATTTTTGGTACCGGGGATTGAACTCGGGTCCTTGCACTTGTGAGGCAGGCAGCGGCACCAGTGAGCTAAATCCCCGGACCTGTTGTCATCTTTAATGACTGCACTCTATCCTAATGTTTGGCTACCCGGTGATTTATTTTACATCCGTATTGCTTAATACTCAGGTCTGCTAGATTTTTGCTATTAGGCAAATCTGAGAAGAGGAGGAGAATGCAAAAAGACAACAGCTCTGTGGCTTCATGTGGGGACAGGCGGAATGACACAGAGTGAGGAGAAGGGTGTCCCAGGTGGAGGCAAAGCACAGGACATGAAGGGTTAGGAAAGCTGAGTGGAAGAGTGGAGGTTTGCAGGCACCAACACTGAGTGAAAAATCAAAGCAGCATCTTCACATGAATGAGAGCCCTCGGTGTGTGTATGTGTGCGTGTGTGCATGAGGATGGGTTTGTATATTGTCCGTAATTAGTAGGGGTTTTCTCTTATATTTGGACTGAGAGAAAGTCAAGAAGTTCCAAATAGGTGTATATTTTCAGGGACAAAGTAGGGAAAGAAATTTAAGCAGAAGCAAGGGTTGGGGGGGCACTGTGGCCTGGGGTTTAGAGAACTGGACTATATCCTTTGGCAATCCAGAGTTTATCAACAAACCTGCATTGACTTCCTACAGTCTTGCAGCTCCACATTCTAATGGTGGCGATAAGAACGTGCATAATTTATTATAAAAGAGATGTTCCTAGTGGCACTGGAGGAGTATGGATAAAAAGCTAAGGGGGTTCAGAGGAAGGAAAGGTCCTAGGCTCTGTGTTTGGCGGGGTTTGGGGTTGGTAAGGAGGGGAACCTCACGGAGAGGTGGTATTCCTCAGGGACCTCCGAGGAGTGACAGGGTTCTGACAGAGAGCAAAGAGGGAACCCACGTGACCAATGCATAGTACTCTGTCAGCATTCCCAGGGAGTTGCAGCCCATCTTCTGCTCGATTTGGGGGTCTCCATGACAGTGCTTCCAAAAGTGAAAGAAAAGACCAAAAAGGAAAGTCCTAACACTAAAGGATATGACAGAGGGTGAGAACACGGACGAGTTTAAATATTGACTCCATCCCCATCAAGTGACCTGCACAGATCATTTTTCTCTGTTTTAGTTCCCTCGGTTGCAAATGGAAATAATGACTGCAGTACCTGCTTCACAGAATTGAAGCAAGTGCTAAAAGAAGTAGTAAGGCTATTAGTGTGCTGCCTGACCCATGGCAAATTTTAAATAAATACAAGGTAATCTTTAAAGGTTAATCTTTAGTTCAGTGCTCAGTGGGAAGTTAGAATGTTCAAAGTGTAGCTGAAAGCATCACATCATATTAATTGGAAAGGGGAACTGTCAAAGAGACTTGTTAGGAAAGAGATGGTTGCAATTATCCAGAATACATGTGCATGACTTGTCTTTCCAGCGTCATGCTTGATGTATTCATCTCTTCCTTTCCCACATTTTAACCGCCCTTTCCCATCTTACACCAAAGACCTCATCATCCACAGAAAGCATATCAACATCAAACTCACAAAATCAACCCCCTGCCAACAGGGCATCACTACGTAGTTCAGGGTGACCTTGAACTCACTATGTAGCCCAGGCTGGCCTTGAACACACATCAGTCCTCCTGCCTCAGTCTTCTGAGTGCTCAGATTGCAGGAACGCCTGGCAGAAAATCAAACATTTCATGCTCCAGTTACAATCTCCTTTTCTTTCCTTCTGTCTTCTCAAGTATAGATTTCATAATCAGCTTTCACATCATCAAGAATCCCAAAGCTGAGCAGAGCATGGTGGTGCACGTCTATAATCCAAGCACACTGGGAGGCTGAGGCAGGAGGATTGCAAACTGGTGTCCAGCCTGGGCAGCTTAGTAACCTAGTAAGACTCTGTCTCAAAACAAAACAAAACAAAAATTAAATACATGAGGATGTAAAGGTCTTGGATCCAATTCCTAGTGCTGAAAAAAAAAAATCCCAAAGCTTTTGTCCCTCCCTCTCTAGCCTTTAGCTCATGTTTGCCTTTACCCCTGCCCCTATCTAATTTGGATTTGATGAGCATCACCTCATTGCAAACTCCTCTAACCTTCCTGGCCCTTCTTTTTCTCCATCAAATGCACCTGCAATCCTCATTTTCTTGGTCAGTTCCTTGGTGATTGACCATTTACTTGGCCAATTGTGATGGCAGGAAGAAGTGAAGAGGATGCTGAAGTGAGAGAAATTTAAAAGGTAGAACTAAAAGAAAAAAAAAAATCTTGAAAAAAATGGGCTAGCAATTTAGCTCAGTGGTTCCGCTGCCTGCCTTTCAAGCAGAAGGACCCAAGTTGGATCCTCAGTGCCCAAAAAAAAAAAAAAAAAGTCTTAAAAGGCAGAACTGAAAGAAGTTGGCACTGATTGAAATATGGAGGTGATACAAGTGCATGACCAGGAAAGAGGTGACTATGCTCATGCAAATATAAATCTTAGATGGATAAGAACATTTGTAAAGTGAAGATGAAAAGTTGGATTTTGAATATAATTTGTTTCTAAGTTGGCAAATTTATTTGGAGGTATCCAAGCAGGAGGAAGAAATATGAAATTATTTAGAAGTGAGCAAGACAAGTAGATTTGAAGATTTACTGGCCTGATAATGATAACCATAAATCTGAGTGTGTAGGATTGGGAAAGGGGACAGTGGATTGGAACAGTGGGTGAGAAAGAGGAGGATGAAGAAATAAAACAAGAAAGAGTTAAAGGAAGAAGAGAGAATCCAGAAGTCAGATCTTCATTCCACATTCAACAAATAGTAGTGGAAATTAACTCTATCACACATGCTATATTCATTGTGAAAGGGGAAAGACCTTGTATTTCAGGTCAGGAAAACTGTTACTGAGTTCACAGAAAAGTTCCCAGATTGTAAAAGAGCACCTGGTACATAGAACTCAGAACAGGTTTAAACAAAATCAGTTGAAGAATCAGCAAAAGTGTTGAAAACAAAGTGCAGTATACACAGTTGGCCTATAGAGGAATCAGCATTTGGGGTGCAGTGAGGAACCCTAGGAGGGTAGAACTGGAGCTTTTTCGGTAAGCAATGGACTAACACTGAAGTTGAAATGCAACTATAAAGTGCAGTGACTCAGTCATACTGTACTTGGAGATGCCATGGCCTTAGCCTGCACCAGGGATCCAGGGAGCAGGGATGGGAGCAACTGAGGCACAATCAAGGGGTGTTGTAAAATTGAGTCTGAGTCATCAAGTGATCCAAACCTAAACTGGAGGTTCCGAAAAGACAGAGTAGATGTAGATCCTTGCAATTCAGCAAAAGGCAAATGGAAGAAAACACCAAAAGTCTTTCTGAGAGTTCTTGCTCAGACACCCAGCACGTTGGGAGTGCTGTTAATGAAACTGGTGAAGATGTCACCTTTCGAGGGCTGAGCCTGCCCATGGGAAAAACGAGGTAGTTCAGTGCTCACTTTACACTCCTACTTTCACGGAGCGCTGCTCTCCCTTCCTTACCCCTGCCTCCTGTAGGCTTCCATCGTTCAGCAGTGAGGGGTGAGGGCTCCCAGAGCTGGCCCTGCTATCAGTCAGGGAACGTGACTTGGAGGAGTGGCTGTGTGCCCTCCTCTGAGAGGTGAGGGTGGAGCCCCAGGAGCACAACTGGAGGAAAGGCTTGGCAGCAGGGATCCCCCAGTGCACTTTGCCCAGCTTCTTCCAACTATCCGGCACTATTAGTTCCTGTCCCCTGGCCCACAGCCAAGGTCCTCATCAGAAAAGACGTGTCTGTCTTGGCTTGAAACGATGGCTTTCTCACTGATCAGAGCCAAGACACCTCCAGCCACCACGGTCTGTGCAGTGAAAGGAACCGTGCACGATTTCTCTGGTCCCACAGCTGACAATTCCAACATTGCCCAGGTCCTCTGGGTTCTGCCCGGAGGAATTTCTTATATGCAAGAAATTAGGCTTCCACTACAGGAAGTGGTTATGGCAGCACAGAGACGGTCCACTGCCACCATCCCCATATGCATGTTAGAGCTCCTGTCCATCCCTTGTCTAAGGCAGCACTGGTCCTCTTGCCTCAGGCTTGGTCCCGTGTGAAACAAACTCAAAGGGAGATATTCTGCCCACATACCTGTCACTCAGGTTGGATCATTAGACTTTCCCCAGAGCAGGTTGTGATGTGGGAGGTGGCAAAAGATCAGGGGCTGGGCGCCAGCAAAACTGAGTAAGTGTCTAAAACATTCTGCCAACTTTGATTTACTAAAGCCGATGGGGCTGTCAGATCCGGAATATACTGTCTCCATACTCCTAACTTCCCCAACATGCTTCTTATGCTACCCTTACCCCCGGCCAAGATCAGCCCCAACCCAGGTATCCCTGCTCCTGCCTCCCTCCTCGGGGCCTTGACTCACCCAGGAAGAGCACAGTGATCCACAGCAGCATATGGCCCAAAGTCTGTGAGGGCTTGCGGTCAGCTCCGTGACTCTCAGTGGCAAGGACAGGTAAGAGCAAAGGGATTCCCATCACCTCTGGAGCAAGCGGGCTCCAACAGCACACAGCTTCTCTCCTACCAAAAATACAGCCAAATTCTGGAGTCCAAAAGAGGAAATGAAAAGAAACGGTCTGTTTAATCGTAGGCTCCTCCCCTTCCACTCTCTTTCATCTGTTCCCTCTTAGAAGATTCAGAGCTTCCCAGAATCTCTGGCTCAGCTCCAGCCACAGAAACTTAAGAAACATGGAAGCAATACCTCTCTTCTTCTTCTTCTTGGGGCCACAGCTGGCCTGAGCCCTTGGGCCCTTGGGAGAAAGTGGGACAAAAGGAAATGACCACCCAAACTCAGTTTAGAACTTCGTACCTCAGGTTCCACCCTCCCTAGAGAAGTATGGAGGTGAGTTGCACAGATCATCATCCGGTACATCTTCCGTTTGGAGACTCATTCACTGGAATCTGGGCTCCTCCCAAACTGAGCATCCACCACCATTCGACTTTTCTCTATTATCATAATTCCCTGACTCACTTTTGGATTGCAGAGCAAGAGCAAGGAAGTGCATCATGGCAGCAATAGGGCAACCACACTCATCCTCATTATCTCCCTCCTTTATTCATACATTTGTTCATTTACTTACTCATTAATGCAATAAATAGATCAAGAAATATTGCCTGAGCACCAGTCTGTGCACTGCATCTTTATCCTGGTCATTTCTCCCACACTGGTCTCACCCTCACGGTCTGGTTAAAGAGCGTGGGCAGTGGAACCCAAAGTGCAAATTAGAGCGCTGAGAGCTACTCGGAGGGTCAGGTTCCAGACCTTACACATGAAGATCCTCAGGCCTGTTAATTCAAACAGAGGCGCCTGGGAAAAAGCTCAGTGGTTCCACTGCCAGCCTCGCAAGCACAAAGGTCCCTAGTTTGATCCCTGGTATCAAAACAACAACAACAACAACAAATACCCAGAGTTTCGCAACCTGGGTTGAGTGCTCAACCTCAGCACTACTGACATTCTGAGCCAAATAACTGAGGTAAGTGTTGTGGGGACCTGTGTATTGTAGGATGTTTAGCATCATCCCTGGCCTCTACCTGTCAGATTCCTATGGAAAACAAACTTGTGAAAACCAAAATATCTCCAGACATTGGCGTATGCTCCCTGGGGGAGGGGGCAAAATTACCCCAGTGAAGAACTGCTACACTCTGGTTTTGGAAAATAAAAGACAGCACACATGGACAAGAGATTGTAGTTCAGTGGCACTGCACCTGCTTTGAAGCACAAGGTCCTGAATTCGATCCCCGGTACCACACACATACACACACACACACACACACACACACACACACGACACTATGCCTGCTAGCAAAGGCTGTCTATATCATGGGTATCCAACAAATGCTACTTCTTTCTCTTGCCCTGTCATGTTCACCATGAAAATCCCCAGAACAGAAGATATTCTGGGATCCATCTTGGTGCCCTCTCTTGAGGTCTCTTTACTACACAACCCTTCAGGAAGCCAGTGTAATACTCAAGGAAATGACATTGTAAAACCTTCCTCTCATACTCTGTGGTCTTCAGAAAACTCCAACAGCCCCACCCTCTCTACCACATGTTTTGACTACTGGTGCTTCCAACCTTCCCTCCAGCCTTTATCTTATTTTTAAGTGAGAAAACATTTTTACCAGCGATGAAAGACATCGATACTTTAAAAAAATCATTATAAGCTAAAGCATAAAACAATAAATAGGTACTACGCTAAGAAACCAGAATTAGGGGTCGGGGATTTAGCTCAGTGTTGCTGCTGTCAGCCTCATAAGTGCAAGGTCCTGAGTTCAATCCCCAGCACTGAAAAAAAAAAAGAAAGAAAGAAACCAGAATTAATAGCCAGAGTGGTTTCTTTCTGGACTACATATCCAAAACCCACTTTTTACTGCAAAGTGCCAACACTGCAATGAAACCTGAACACTGAGGTTTTAGTTTAGAAAAACAACTCTTGCTGAGGCTGAGGCAGGAGTATCACTGTGAGTTTGAGATCAGCCTGGGCTACAATAGTGAGTTCCAAGTCAGTTTCAACTACATAGTGAGACCCTGTCTCAAAAAAAAGAATAAAAGAAACCAAATTTTAAAATTTAATAATCACAATGTAAACATAAAAATGCTTACTCTAAAGAAGACACTGGACTTATTAGCTCTTTTACAACAATCTCATAAGATAAATACTATCATTCTCATCTGCACATGAAGAAACTTAGCTGACCAGATCTTACAAAAGAGCAACAAAAGATTGATGCATGAAACGAAAAACAGAGGAGTTGCCTAAGCAGGCACAAAAAGTGCTTGTCGGGGCCAGGGATTTGGCTCAGTGGTGCTGCCGCCTGCCTTAAAAGCACAAGTGCCTGAGTTCGATTCTCGGTACTGTTTGTCAAAAGAGATGAGGTCAGACGAAAAAAAAAGGCTAAGTAAAGAGCCGGGCATGGTGGCGCATGCCTGTAATCCCAGCACTCGGGAGGCTGAGGCACTGTGAGTTCAAGACAGCCTGGGCTACATAGTGAGTTCCAGGTCAGTCTCAACTACATAGTGAGACCCTGTCTCAAAACAAACAAACAACCCCCCCCCCCGACAAAAGGCTATGTAAGGGTCTCCACAATGGAAGAAGTTATCAAGAAATTAGATCAAGGCTCCTCAAAAAAAAAAGGAAATGACAAGCCACAGTAGCGAAGAGGTGAAAGAGCTCAGGGCAAGAATCCCAAGAGGGCAACAGATGCTCCAAATGCAGAAAACCAGGGCACTTTAAGAGGGAATGCCCAGAGTGGAAGAAGAGTTTAATGAGAACTAAGGAAGTCAGGAGCTCCTTTGAAGTTCCCATCAGGAGCCCTTGATAAACTCTAGGGTGAGACCGGAAGAGGAGGAGGTTATTTTTCTGGTTGATTCAGGTGCTGCCCACTCCTCATTAACATTTCAACCTAAAAGCACAAAGCTTTCTAAGGAGAAATGACTAGGATCTGGGATAAAAGGTGGGAGAGGGTGGAGGTTGAGTTCCAATATTTGAAAGAATGACATGTAAAGTAAGGCAAAGCCGATTAAAGAGTCACTATTATGTATACTGGAGGCAGCACTAATCTCCTGGACAGAAATTTGTTTATTCGGTTGGGCTTGGGTTTAGGAGTAGAGATAATTACAGATTGTAATATCTGGCCAGCTAAATTTCTTCATGTGCAGATGAGGAGGATATTTATCTTCTGAGATTGTTGTAAAGCTTAGAGATAATATGTCCAGTGCCTCCTTCAGAATAAGCATTTTTATATTTACATAGTGACGATTAATTTTGTTTTTTTTTGGGGGGGGTTGCTCTTTTTTAGACATGATCTTGAAAGGTAGTCTGGGATTACAGGCATGTAGCCCCACTCCTGGCTATTCATTCTGAAGGAGGCTCAAAAGGTGTTTGTCCAGAGAGACGAGGTCAGACAAAAATAAAAGGCTAAGATAATGGTCTCCATAGTGGAGGAATTTGTTAAGAAACTCAATCAAGTGGGCTGGGGATGTAGCCCAGCAGCACAGTGCCTACCTGGCAAGCGCAAGGCCTTGGATTTGATTCCCAGCACCAAAAAGAAAAAAGAAAAGTGGAAAAAGAAACTCAATCAAGGATCTTCGAAGGAAAAAAAGGGAAATGAGAAACCACAAAAATGTAAGGATGGGGCCTCTGTCAGAAGAAGAAAAGAAGACTGACTCCCCTTGTGTGGGTCACGGAAGAAGATAGAGAGGGCTACAGATTACCCCACTGAAAATTAAGTTAAAACAACCAGGAAAAGTGATTAGTAGAAGACAATATTTGATTTCTGTTGATGGCAGAAAAGGACTGCAGTCAGTGATAGAAGGACCACTTAGGAACATATACTTGAAACCTTACATGTCACCATACATTACGCCAGTTCTCCTGGTCAGAAATTGTTAGGGAATTGATCATGTTAAAGTATGCTGTGATGCCGCCATCACAGGCTGCATTTTCCTGGGGCTTCTTGGCTCTTAGAATGACTTCATGCCCTTATCTTTGCCCCACCCCACCCCCGCAAGGCCACAGCGGTCCAGAGAAGTTGAAACCTGTTTCTGCAGAACTGGACCCATAAAAGGCAACCTGGCCTGTGATAGGTTAAAAGTGGCCCACTCCTCATAAATAAACAACAGCCCAGCCCAAAACTAATAAAAGGACCTTCCTTTCTTCTTTCTTCTTTCTTCTTCCTCCTCTCTCTCTCTCTCTCTCTCTCTCTGTCTCTGCTCTTTCTCTCTACTGTCTCTCTACTCCCACTCCTTGAATAAAATCTCCAGTCAGACCTCTCGGTGTGTGTGGCCTTAGTTGTTGAGCGTCGCTGTTCCTTTTCAGAAACCCTGATGGCTCATACAGGTCCTCGGAGCTATAAACCAGATTATCTAAGCACAACACCCACTAGTACCCAGTCCCTGTACCCTGCTTAGCAAAATCCCATATGAACACAAGTGGTTTAGTGTGGTGGCTCTAAAGGATGACCTTGGGGATTGTGCTTTGGATCCTAAAAGTAGAGATCTCTTTGTCTTTGAATGGGACAGCCCCATCAGTGGAAAGAAACAAAAATACCACTGGGAAAGTCTTCCCTGGGGATTGGGAGGTCCCACACTTATTTGGCCAGATATTAGAAAGAGTTTTGGAAGAGTTCCACCCTCGCACAGGAACAGAATTATTACAATATGTATATGGCTTTTTGATCTCAGGGAAGAAGGCCAAGTATCAGAAGCCACTATGAGCTTATTAAACTTCCTGGGGAAGAAGGGGTTAAGAGTCTACAGGAACAAACTATACTGTAGTTTGTGGGAAAATACTATAATACCTGGGACATTTAATCAGTAAAGGAAGACAGATGATTAATCCTCTTTGAGGATGTCCAGTATAGTCAAATGACCACTTCTGAAGATAAAAAGGGAACTCAGAAAACTTCTGGGATTATTGCTGCTTGTGGATAGACTTGAGCTCAGAAAACAGAAGCTCTGTACCTCAAACTATTAGAAGAAGAGCCTGACCCCTTACAGTGGTCCTTAGAAGAAACTCAAGCCTTAGAGGAATTAAAACAAGCCCTCACAGCAGCTGCAGTCCTAGCATTTCCCATCCCTAGAGAAATCCTTTCCCCTGTTTGTTGCTACAGACAAGGAGGCAGCTTTTCATGTTTTAACTAAATAGGAGGAGGAGAAACACAGCCCATTGCATTCATTTCTATTCATTTCTAAATTCCTTGATCCCATGTCTAGGGGTTGGCCAGAGCGTGCACAAGCGGTGATGGTTATCACTTTGTTGGTTGAAGAGAGTAGGAAACTGACTTTTGGTGGGACTCTAGTAGTCAATATTCCACATCAAGTTAGAACCACCTTCAATAAAAAGCAGGGAGATGGCTGACAGACTCCAGAAAATTAAAATAACAAGCTGTTTTCCTAGAAAGGCATGAGCTAGTCCTCAATACCCACACCTTTTAAAATCTAGCCAGTTACTTATAAAGAGAGGAGGGAGACCCAGAGACACTAGGGCATGGCTTCCTGGACTTCATAGAATACCAAACTAAAGTTAGATCAGGCCTAAGAGAGACCCCACTCTATGGTAGACTTAAATTATTTGTGGATGGATCATTAGAGGGAAAAAGACAATGGATATATGATTATTAATGGAGAAGAATGCTCCTTATGTAAAGGGGGGCAGATTATCCAATAGTCGGTCAGCCCAAACTTGTGAACTACGTTCTCTAAATCAGGCCCTAAATCTTCTCAAAGGCTAAGAAAGCATAAAACATACTGATTCCAAATATGCTTATAGGGTAGTACACACCTTTGGGAAAGTCTTGATGGAGCAAGGCCTCATAAATAGCAAAGGAAAAGAAATAATACATGGAGTATTGATCAAACAATTACTTGAAAATATCCTACTTCCAGAAATGGCAATAGTTCATAGAAATGGTCATGAGAGAGGAGCCCCATGGAGGCAATAGCAAACAGGCTTGCTGGTGGGGCTGCTGACCCAGCCTCTCTGGAAGAGGAAATTGTTAAGTCTGACTCCAAATATCCCCAAGGTAGTTCTAAAGCCAGGTCAATTCACCAGGGAAGAGGAAAAAGATAAGATTGTGGTCACACAGGTGGAGGATCAAAGACGGATATTACCCAATGGGAGGGGGGTGATAAGTAAACCTTTGATGACAGAACTGTTTATACTACATAAAGGGAGTCATTGGGGTCCCCAGGCTATGTGTAATGAAATACTTAGAAACTGTGGATGCCTAAGAATTTATACTATTGTTTAACAAGTTTATGGAAGTCATATAACACTGTCAAAGAATAAACAAGAGGATGATTAGAAAGCACACCAGCAATGTCCCTATCCCCTTAAATCTCTTAACCCAAACATTTTCTTGTTTTTGATAGTTTTGTTGTTGTTGTTGTTGTTGTTATTGTTTTTAATGGGAGACTGAACTCAGGACCTTGCACTTCCGAGGTAGGCGCAGTGCCACTGAGTTAAATCCCTAGCTTGACAAATAGTCTTAGAACCGTGAACTCTATATTGGCTCACAAAGAAGCCTCAGAATGGCTTGAAGCCTCCTATGGCTTATATAATTTTAGATGGCACTGAAACCCTGCAGCTCATCCTAGAATAAAGGTGATTCTAAGAAAAGAGAGAGAGAGAGAAAAGGCAAACAAAAGCATACCCAAGCAAACCATTACAGATGAGTACTCCAAACCAAACCAAACCCAAACCCACACAAATGCCAGTAATTTTTCTACCTCTGAATCTCTTCTCACACCAATCAGTGCCCCCAAATGACCTGTAATGGCTCTAGATGGCCACAAACAGTGAAGGCCCCTGCCTCACCCCAAGCTGCACTGACAGCCAAATGGGTCCAGAATGGCCCCAAAGGATGAAGGTTCTTACCTCATCTAGATGGCTCTGTTGAATGACATAAAAGAAGGTCCACATGGTGGAGACAGTAGATCCCTGGAGTGCACTTCCCAGTGGGAAACTAGGCAGAGTTTGTCAACTCCGGAGCCAGACTGAACTCCTCAGTTTACCATATTAGGCAGAGCTCCTCAAGTCCCCAACCTTTTTCCATTCACCAACTCAAGCACTTACGGGCAACTGATGCCATGAACAGGAAAGGAAGGCAATTCCTGGGTACAAAAGTGATCCCAGCAGCTTCTAGAATGTTCCTGGATTCCTGACCATGGATTCAGCTAGCCACAAGCAGTGAATCCCTCCACCCAAGCAACTGCCAGGATGCACAGCTCTCAGGAAAAGGGACTAAAGTCCCTCCATGGTAGCCAACTGGCCACACAGGCTCACAACTGGCCACAGGCTTGTCTGTTCACCACTGACCAAATCAAAGGAGGTCATACTGATACAGGGGAAATCAATGTAACTCCCAACCTGCTAGATGCCAGATACACTGAGTTTGGATTCCTCAAAATCGAAGAATGAATTCTTTTTTTTCTTTTTTTTCTTTTTTTTTTTTTTTTTTTCAGGTCTTTTAGCATAAATGAATTCTTTTTTTTCTTTTTTTTTTTTTTTTTTTTTTTTTGCAGGTCTATAAATATTTTTAATACTTACAAAACTAGTGAAAAAGAAATAATTCAAGATTTGACATTATCCTTAAGTTTATATCTAAGCTCCATCTACCTTCAGGTAGAATTGTTACACATTTCCAAACAACACCTTGCACAAACTTTTTATCATAAACAAAACGAAAGTTTCCCCATTGGCTTTACGAATCAGCTAGGATGCTGTTGAACTTTCACTGAAAAACCAAAATCTGTTTGTGATTGGTATCACACAAAATTACAATCACATTACAAATCAAAATGAAACAAAAATATCAGAACAATAAAAATACACATGAGATCAGTACCATCCCACAAATAAGATTTGCAAGCAAATTCAATCTAACAAAAAAAGAAACAAGACTTCAAAAACATAAAGGAAACAGTGGTCAGTTTCTCAGTAGTACAAATAGAAGACACCAGGATGTCAGGCACAGTATTTTATCACCACCTCTGGCCTCACTGCTTACAAAATGCCTGCTCTCCAGACACACAGACTGAGAATGGGCCTCATTTCACAGGTGGTGGGGAATAAGCCATGACTTGGTGGTAGAACACGCCCCATCCCTGTCACACATCTTCACCCTCAAAGGCCTCAAACAGACCTTCTTCCTCTCTCAAAGCCTGCTCGTACAGATGGGGGTAAGACCTGGGATCTATCCTATGAAGACTGAACAAGTGATTCAGGACTTTGATGGGGGTGGTTTCCGCCCGGGCCCTTGGCCCCCACAGCAACTCACAGCGAGCAGGAGCACTATTAGGAACCTGCTGGTACACCAGGTACTCTTCCCGCACCAAATCCTCTGTGGTGAACTTCCAGGGATCCCCGATCATAACGTGCTCCCTCTCACTTAAGAGCTTCCGATCTCTCAGCAGTGCCCTTAGGTCCTCCTCACTGACACGGCTGCCCTTCACCATGATGACACTCAGGATGCCCATCAGGAGTTTCCCTTTGGGAATGATCTGGACATCATCATCCAGGATCCCATGAAAAGTGAGGCCCAGGATGGGGAGAAGCTCATATGTGTGTCCAGGGGCACCCACTTCCCTCATCTCAATGCCAAAGCACAGACATACACACTGGCAGAGTTCCCTAAAGATCAGAGGGAAGTGCTCACAGTAATCATTATGCACGACGTGCAGCATTTCCTCCGTGGTGACCTGCTCCTTCTGCTGATACTTGGGGAGCAGGAAAGGAACCATTTTATCTAAGATGTCATATGCTAACTCATTGAGCCTGATCTGGCTGGCTTGACAAATAGTCTTAGAACTGTGAACTCTATATTGGCTCACAAAGAAGCCTCAGAATGACTTGAAGCCTCAAGTCATTCTGCGAGGGACTCGGACCCTCCTCCTCCTGCCTGCCTGAGCCGTCACAACACTGGCTCCTTGGAGTGGAAGCCATAGCACTGGGGGGAGACAGGATGCCCTGAGGATTCTGAAGACAAGTTGGTGTCCCAGGCCCAGGCTTTCCTACTGGTGTGGGTGAGAGTACAGTAGAGGAGGGAGAGGACACAGAGGAAGCAGAGGCTGCTGCTTCCCCCTCCTCCTTGAGAACGCGCACACCCATGAGATCCCTGGCACTACTTTTGGCAAGATGGTCTCCCCGTAGCTTGTTGGCTTCGTTCTGCTGACCATGCGGCATCATGATGTTATATGGACAGGGCAAGACCTTGTTGTGAATACAGAGCTCTGCACTCCTGACACTGTCTGGTACTGCTCCGTCCTGAGTGCCGAGGACACTGCTTTCCAACAACTCTCTCACACCCGAGTTCCTGGAGCTCCTTAAGATGTTCTGTGCTGGAAAATGGAGTGGTGAACAGCAGAAATTCAGTCTCCTGAAGAGAGCGCCTCAAACCAGGATTCAGAAGCTCTCATCTGAATCTGCTGCCACAGCTGCAGCCTCTGCTGCTTCCGCCACGGCCTCTGCTTCGAAGAATGAATTCTGAGGAGCGATGAAAGTTGAGTAGGAAATTTTTATTAAGAGAAAAGAAAGCTCCTAAGAGACAGGAGAGGACCCAAAAGGTGAGTGGCCAATGAGCCCACTTCTCAAAGGAAGTTTTAAAGAGCAAAATCATGAGATGGCTACTATGTGGTCACAACTATGATCAACCAATATGATTACAAGTATAGCCACGTAGGTAATATTCATCCAGTGGGGAAGCAGGTCATGTAGCAAGTGTAGGTGCAAAGAAGAAGGACCTTTTTAGGGTGAGATGGATCAAGAGTCCTTGTCACCCACCTGGGTGACTAATGTCTATCTAGACTTTGTTGGACCAGGTGATACTGATTATAGTAGAATCTTCATTGTATTGCTTATCCCTTGGGGAGGCATGTAGGGCTGGTCATTCTGTCCTTATCGGGAGGCCTGGCCTTTGACAGATGCACTTTCAGCTGCAGTTGTAATGTGTTCTCATCTTCCGCACTGACTACCTCGAGGGCCTGACCCTGTCAGACTGACTATAATATTCCTACCTAACTTAGATGCTTATAATAATATATTTGGGGAAAAGTAAAAAAGATTTATTTAAAGCTAGATCCAAGGAGCTAGAGGGGCCCATTTGTCTCAAATCACTGTCTCATCTTTTACAGGTGGGCAAAGGTAATTTATAAGAGGAAACAGAGGGAAGGGGGAACACGGGATAATAATCTCCACAGTTGTTCTATCACTTTTACCCATTATTATGGCTTATATCTAGAGGTCTCTCCAAAGCCTCATGGGATCATAGGTGGAGCTTTCTAAAGGCGGGGATCTAGAGTGTGTGATGCTGGTGATATAGGGGCATAGATGCAACTCCCAAATATGCAAGTTCATGTTCTCTAAAATCAGGGAATGAATTCTAGGAACAACAGAGGCTAAGAGTACAAAAAAATATTTTTAGTACATTTTATTTTATCCCACCCCCCAAGCCCTTTCCCCTCTGTATGTACAAAAGCTTTTGTTTCCATTTTTTTCCTTCTATTTTCACTTTTTTTCTTTTCCTTTTTTGGTACCAGGTATCAAACTTGAGTCCATGCGCTTGTGAGGCAGGCGGCAAAACCACTGAGCTAAATCCCCGGCCCTCACTTTTTTCTTATCCCTTCCCTCCTTTCTCCGTTGTTCCCCTTTCCATTTGAACACTTTCTTCCCATTTCCCAACATCCAGCATACACCTCCGTCCTTATTTCCACTTTTGGTTTCTCACACCGGAGAAACAATGTGGTCTTTAAACATGTGTGCCAATTTATTTCACTTGAGAGTATGGTCTCAAGGTCCATCCATTTAGCTATAAATGTCCGAAGCTCGCCCTTCTTTATGGCATAATAGTACTCCATTGTGTTCTTTTTTAAATCACATCTTCTTTATCCACTTGTCAGTTGATGGGCATTTGGACTATTTCCAAGGTTTAGGTATTGCAAACTGCACTGCTATAGACATGGGTGTGCACGTATTGCTGTGTTATGATGCTTTTAATTCTTTCAGGAAGATACCAAGAAGGAAAATAGTTAAGTCAAATGGAACCTCTAGTTTTAGTTTCTTGAGACATCTCCACACTGATTTCCACATTGGTTGCACCAGTCTACACTCCCATCAACAGTGGAGAAGAGTTCCTTTTTCCCCAGGGCCCCTCCAGCACTTGTTGTTGGTTGATTTCTTGATAGCAGCCATTGTCTCGAGTGAGATGGAATCTCAGCGTTGTTTTAATTTGCATCTCTCAAATGACCAGTGATGTTCAACATTTTTTCATATATTTATTTGCCATAATGTGAAATGGGAAGAAAAGAGCTAAAGGTGTAGGGGAAGTGGGAAGGGTAGGGGAGAGAAAATCAGGGAAAAGAAAAAAATATGAGAAAAGGAAAAAATGGAAACAAAGTATTTGTAAGTAGGGGAAGGTTGAGGGGGTGAAGGAAGGGCAGGAATATGGGGAAAAATGAGAACCAAGATCCGTCATACAAAGGTACAAGATCCCAATGATGAATGTAACTATACTATATACTTAAAAAGTACCAATAAACTCAATAAAAAAGCATCTATTTGCCATTTGTAATTATTCATCTGAGAGCTGTCTTTTTATTTCAGATGCCCATTTTTGCATTAGGTCTTTAAATTTTGGGGGGGGTCTAATTTTTTTTTAGTTCTTTATATATTCTAGATAATAGTCCTTTATCTGAATAACTGGTAAAAAAAATTTTCCCAAGAGTAGGAAAAAATTATTGAAGGATAGTTTCTGTCTAACAGAAACAGAGAGAGGACCAGAAAATGGATTGCCCATCCACCCCGCTTTTCAAAGGTGTTTTCTACAGCAAAGCCATGAGGTGAGGCAGGTACAAAGTGGAACAAAACTATAAGACCCAAAGGAAAATTACAAGGTGGGCATGAGGTAGGACAAAGCCATGACCAACCAATAAGAGTGCAAGTACAGTCACCCAGGTGATATTGATTAAATGGGGGGTCAAATAGGAAAACAAGTCACATACAAGGAGTTTCCCATTTAGAATATCAATCACAGGCTGGGGATTTACCTCAGTGGTGCTGCAGCCTACCTCACAAGTGTAAGAACCCAAATTCAATCCCCGGTACCAAAACAACAACAACAACAAAGGATATCAAATAAACTTGCCTATCTGCAATACTAGGACCAAGGATGTGAGGCTGGGATTGATCCTTGGTGCAATGCTAGGATTAAGGCTGCCCCACCCTGGGTGTGAGTGCTACCTGCCCTAAGGTGGGCAGCCTGGTTAGGATACAAGGAACAGAAAAAGAGCTGCTGCCACTGCTTGCTGCTTTGCTGTCTCCTGCCTGCTTGTCATGGACAATTTCTCCTCTGTGATGCCCTCTGCCATGCCACCCTGCCTCGGAGCCAGCCAACTATGAACTGAAACCTCTACAAACTATGAACTACAATAAACCTTTCCCCCCTTAACTTCAGGTGTTGGGTATTTTGTCTCAGCGACAAGAAAGGAAACTAAGACATCCATCTTTAGCTCATGCTCCTCTTATTAAAAAAAAAAAAAAAAAAAAAAAAAAAAAAAAAAAAAAAAAGTCGCATTTCATAGTGCCAAAATGAAAGAACCAAATAACATCTTTTGGATCACTTATTAAAAGTAGTCACAGGGCTGGGGATTTCCCTCAGTGGTTGTGCAGCCTGCTTTGCAAGACCAAGGGCCAGAGTTCAATTCCTGGTACAAAAAAAAAAAAAAAAAAAAAAATTAAAAGTAGTCACAAAGCCATTTTCATACACTAAACTGAAACCAAGAGGGGAGGGAGCCTTGTATCTCTTGTGTCTCAAAATACAAGATGTTTTGAAAAGAAAATGATTACAAACATAGGACACATTTTTGAAAACAGAAACATGTCAGTCAGAAATGTACATTTCTGGTGATGAAAAAAGTATGAGTAACTCAAAAATCACGAAAGCTCAGTGATTAAGAAAATGAGCTGGGCATGGTGGCCCACACATAATCTTAGCATTGTGGAGCTGAGGCAGGAAGGTCATAAATTCAAGCCCAGCCTTAGCAATTTTGCAAGACTGTCTCAAAATAATTGATTTTACTTTTTTTTTTTTTTTTTTTTTTTAAGGGATAGAACTCAGGACCTTGAGCTTACGAGGCAGGCACAAGTGCCGCTGAGCTAAACCTCCAGCCGCTCAAAATAATTTTTTTTTGTACTGAGGATGAACTCTGCTCCTTGTACTTGCAAGGTAGGCGGCAGAATCACTGAGCTAAATCCCCAGCCCAAAGTAATTGATTTTTAAAACAGCTGAGAATGTAACTCAGGGCAAAAAGCTCTGGGTTGAGTCCCTATGTCATAGGAAATAATACTGGAGATGAAATATGAAATATTTTATTTCCCAACCTGTTAACTGTCTGATACACCGAGCTCTTATTCTCTAGAAATCAAAGAATGAGACCTAGGAACAACATAGGTTAAGAGTTGGAAGATATTTGGCTTTGTTTTTTGGTTTTTTTTTTTTTTTTTTGGTACAAGGGATTGAACTCACAACCTTGCTCTTGCAAGGTAGTTGGTGTCACCACTGAGCTAAATCCCCGGCCCTGGAAGATATTTATTGATAGGAAAATTCCTGAGGGGCAGGAGGGGTCCCAAGTGAATATTCCAGGGACCCAGCTTTACAGAGGAGTTTTATAGGGGGATACCCACGTGGGTACAACGTGGGCCACAGCCATGAACATCCAATAAGGTTACAAGTATGGTCACTTAGGTA